TTCTTGACTGGCCTGAGAAAATCATGGTCCAATTCTAGAGTCTCTGGGAATGGTGACTCATGTCTGATACAATCTTCTCTTCAAGTCACTCTATAATCCTCACAAAGCTTCTCAAGATTGTCTGAAGCACAGTCAATAATCCCTTGATCATAACTCGGCTATGGGAGAGTGTGGTGGACATTGGATGTCACTGTCTCTTGGCCGGGGGATTCTTCTGCGCCTGGGTGGAATCGAGTCTTTTCAGCTGTCTTACTTCCAGCGATAGAGCCAAAAGACAGGATTCAAAAAGTGATGTAATTTCAGATTTCTGCTCAGCAAATAATTGCTCCAGCTGGGCGACAGGAAACTCTAAATGTAGGGCGGCACTGGCGACTGCTGAGTGTCAGATGGTTGATCAAGCCGAGATGTAGGTTTTTTATCAGTCTTGGAGATAATATCATCAACCTTTCTCTTGGCCACATCCTTCCTCTTAGCCTTAGTGATATCTTCACTTTGCTTGGTAAAGGCTTTCTTGGAGAGAGGGAGACAGGGAACATCAATCATGCTCTATACAGGTGGATCCTCTGCACTTCCATCACTCTACTGAGGGTCATAAATCAGCCACATTTTGGAGAAGCTGACTGAGGAGGGAAGGACGCCATTTTGGAGAAATTGCAAGATAACACTTATGCAACTAATACTAACACTACTAAAACTACTAATGCTTTAATAGGATTAAGAAACTTATACTGAGATGTATTAGAATAGTATGACTACAGCTGAGTGCTGGAGAAATACTTAGATGTGTTTACTCTAGCACACACAGGAACAAAGGTTTTAACACACAGAATAGCTGAAGGCTGCTTAAAAGCTATTGCGGGTACAACTTATTGTATAGTCTACACACACACAGAGTACATTAAAACAATATCGAAAAAATTGTGCTTGATTAAACAACACTTGTAATTGGTGTAACACAAAAAAAAAGAAAAAAGAAACTTTTGAAACTTTTGCATTATATGTTAAGAAATCCAACAATGTTAGAAACTACCATTTTCAATCCACTAGTCCTTATAAGGTTAACATAAAGCAAAACCCTTGGCAAACTTCTACTAGTCCTTATCATACCTTAACTATTGAGCAGTTTGGCATGGACTAAAGATTTTGTAATTAAGGAGATTGTGTGTAATAACATTGGAAAATATCAGTAGCATAATATTTCTTGTCATTAGAGTAACGGTTCTGGTCAACTGATATCATTGGTGTAAATTCAAGCTTATTTACAAATTACAAGAAAACGACATAAATTTCGTGGTTTATGCTGACAGTCTGAAATGTTTATATACGACAGATACATTTTTCAAAAATTGAATTGCCCATAATTAAGGATGCATATAACACACGAGTGCATATCATACACAAATAGATAAGTCTTATGTACATTGATCAATCGGAAGGGGTGCTAATTGGGATTGTTCAATAGCCAATATATTAACAAATATCCCCGTGGGCGCTTATTAGAGCGGGGCGCTTATTACGTCGAATACGGTATACCTAGCATGACCTATTGAAGCATAATAATATTCTGAAAAATGGACTTAAAAAATATCGACATGATCTTTGTTATCTGAAATATTGTATCAAGCAGAAATCAAACAATAGTTATCATTGTTAATAATTCTAAGAATACTACCTCTATTTAATCTTTGCAATAAATCCTGTATTTTGGCTTCAGTCACACTAACTAAAATTTTCAGATTTTTAACAGACGTCCTCTTCACTGACAATCACACACAATTAGTTGTTCCCAAATAGCATCGTAACCACACAAGCTATGACGTATGCAATGGTGGGAATCTCACTTCTTCCTAATCTTACCACTAGAGGTAGATGAATTGGGGAGCAGTATTCGCGTTAACGCAGAAACCTGCGTTTTTAACGCATTAAAATAATATAAACACGCAAAAAATATTTTGCATGCGTGTTTTGCACGCACAGATTGTGATATACTTAATTTTGTATTAATACCATAAAATAAAAAAACTATTCAAAGCTGATAGCCTGCTTACGATGTTCAGACGAAAATAAATCAAAACCTGGAAATTCCCATTGCTAAAAATAGAGCATGGCCAGATGGCGCTTTGAATCGCGTCCTTTATATTTCCATATATGGTCTTTGGGCAACGGAATAACTAATCTCAGACACAGGACGTCATTCATTACCATCGATAAGTCCCAGAAGTCGTTCCTTTCATCCAATCAGAGTCCAGCTTACAAGTAATAGTCGGTAATACGAACGATCATAAACAGAGCGACGGAAGAAAACTTCCACACATGGGCATTTGCTAACAAGTCATATTTATCTTATTAATGATTGAATGTTCATTATATCAAAACTTGACAGTAAGTTAAAGCTTGGTCATAATTATTAGCTGTACTAGTACTGATTTTATTGAAATCATAACTTCACACGCGAAATATTTGAATTGAAAATTTATTATATCATTTCTGCACACACTGTATAAAAACCTACCGCGAACACTGGTGAGGGTGGCTGGAGTACTTCTGCTGTAATAGAGGTAGTATTCTTAGAATTATTAACAATGATAACTATTGTTCGATAATTCTTACAAAACTTCTACCTCTATTACATCTTACATAGCCTGAACATACCAGAAGGACCCGGGATGGGATTTGCCTGCAATAACTCCCTGTGTAATTGACAGTAATCTCATCTGGAAACCATTATTATCTGATTCTTATCCTAACTTGAGATAAATTTCCTCCGAAACGCTGTATGGTGGTGTCCCGAAGGGTCCAATCACATAACCCCTTGTGACGTCTGTTTCCACTGCTTTAGTGACCGTGGCATTTGGATTGTCCATGTTAAGTGCCTTGACGCTTCGTACAAACATGTAAGAATGGGCAGTTGTGTCGAGTACTTCCAAAGTCATTCAAAATTGTTACATACTTCTCGTCCCTGATTCATAACACGTGGACGGCCCCTTGAGCATGTTGAGTCAGTCTGATGATTGTTGGTTGATCTGTTGTTGTTATGAGTCCCAGGTCTTATAGGTGGTCGTCTGTTGGGGTCTGCCACATTGGGACACGGTTCTGTGTTGTGAGTAATACTATAGCAAACATTACAAGCACAAGATGGAGGCCACATGAAACTCTTGTCCATAGTCTCTGATCAGGTATATCCCACCTAATGCCGGTGCCTTCCTCAGAAAAGGCTGCCACACTGGCCGCGAACAACCTGTGGTAATCATAGTGGACTGTCCCACCATACTGAGTGGCCAAATCAATCACTGTCTGTTCATGGCCGTCCAGTTGACGCCGTTTCTCTGCATTGCCAGCACAGCATCTCCTTGTATATTCCAAACGCCTTGATAAATTCTCCAAGTGTTAATGAGCGATCAATCCTTGGTTCATCACGTAAGTTGAAAGTCTGTCCATCAAAATCCGACTCTAAATTTTCCTGATTTGGCAGAAGAAGCAAGGCTAAATTGACATATTACCTTGTTGTATCCTCCCTTTTAAAGTGAGTGAGTGAGTATTGTTTTACGCCGCTTTTTGCAATATTCCAGCAATATCACGGCGGGGGACACCAGAAATGGGCTTCACACATTGTACCCATGTCAGGAATCGAACCCGGGTCTTCGGCGTGACGAGCGATTGCTTTAACCACCAGGCTACCCGACCGCCCCCCTTTTAAAGTGGATGAAATGTGTGTATGTGTGGCAGTGAATCCGAGGGTACATCAATCCTGTGTAGCTGTCTGAGAACATCACAACTTGCTCCTGTGGCTTGTCTTGACTCCTCTGTGGGGTTGTCGTTGTCGCTGGTGGTGGTAAATGTACATGTAGGAGGTTGTAATTGTTGTCCCGAGTTCATGACGATAGACTTTAATTCAGTGATCTCCCTTTGTAATGAAAACACTGTCACTGTATTTTCTGTGGCACTAGCAGAATTTATCCGGGGCAAAATCCTGTGAATTGTGTCTCTGTAGCAGCACATCACCGCCTTAATCTTGACTGACTAGAGCTGTTTGAGAGATCATAGCGGTGGTGACCGTGCTGTTGGTTCCTGTAATCCCCCTCAGATTTTATTTGTAGAGCTGCATTAATGTCCGTCTGGACCAGGAAGTGGGCACATTGACACCCATATCTGTCAGACTTGTCGAAAATCAGCTGCTGTGAAATATGGAGAGCTTCTGTTACATTCCTGTGAGAGGAAACTGGGCTAGTCACTCCAAAAACAAACGCTACTGCTATTTTCACTCTAAGTCTAAGTCAAAGTCGTTGCCAGGGAAACTCGAAAAATAATTTTTTTTAAAATCCAAAACTATCAAAAGGCATCAGTTCACCACTAGACCTATCTATGTGCCAAGTTTGGTTAAGATGTCTCTCATGGTTTTTGTGTTCTGCATCGGAAACTAAACGTGATGGACGGACGGAAAGACAGATTGATGGAAGGACTGTAGAAGGGACAGACGGCACCGTTTCCTATATTCCCCCTTCCACTTCGTGGCGGGGGATAATAAATGAATTATATGACAGGTAGGTTCATAAACTTATATATTATTTTGACGTGAAAACGGCTTGGACGGTCTACCAGCCTACTTTGTCTGGGGACGTGAGGCTTCTTGGCCAGTCTATCGGCCTAAGGTGTGAAAGAGTTAAATAGATTTGTAGTCTGCTCTGGAACACCCCGAAATGAGTCCAAGTTAAACTTGTTTCCATCACATGCCCCCAAATTAAATAAATAAAAATTTCCTTTAACAGCAAAAAGCACTTGTTCAACAGGTACCCGTAATGGACATATATATGCTTCATTATGAAAACAATGAACAGTTTTTTAGTTTTGCTCCTGAAATTATAACGGACATACTGATAACTTTATTCTCTGACATTGTGTTGCGAGCGAATAAACATAAAATAAAATAATGTTTGGCGATAAGATACTGAGGACCTATTCAGCCAACAAATCCCCATGGGTATATTGATGAGTGTGCTTACCTTGTAGTGTGAGGCAACACAAAGGGCCATAACTCTGTGAAGAAAGGCCTCCGAAGCCTTGTGGTAAGAGAAGAGTGTATCTCTGTTGACATAGTACAGCTCACATAGGGCTGGGACTGGGCAGCCTGACAGGATACGCGGAATGCTGCCTGATTCGAGACACAGTATACTGTTTAGCCAGGACTCCACAGGGTCACCATCAGCATACCGTATAGACTCAGTCAGGGATATCTCATGGAGAACACGGCCTATAATCAGATGACAACATACACTCATTCAAAAGCTTTCCAACATTCAATCATAGACATAATAGACATCATTGTTAATAATTCTAAGGTTACTACCTCTATTACATGATTGCCATTAATCATGCATTTTGCCTGCAATGACACTAAAACTAATGTTCACAATTTTGAAGTTCTCTTCACTGTCAACAAGATAATAACACTAACAATCAGCATCCAGTTCTTTACCGTGCTAAGGCAGGAAAACCTCACATCTTTCCAAATGTCTATCATGAAGAGACAGAATGGGGAGGAGGGTGGGAATACTTCTGATGTTAATAGAGGTAACTAACTCTAAAACCTATGAACTACCGGTAAGATGTTTATTTGTTCCCATAATTATTACGAATCCTCTACCTCTATGACATTATTGTCAGAATATACCAGAGGGTTAGGCGGGTTCTGGCTTTGGTGTATTCCAAGAGTAGTTGACATTGGAATATCATTCCATCCAAAAATAGTATTTTTCTATTCCTGAAGGTGAAAAAACAAACTAACAAATCTCCTCATGAGGACTTGAACACTTCATGTGCAAAAACACAAATATACTACTCAAAAGAAGTTAACGATCACCCGATTCTTTCATAATGGTAAAGTTAATCTGTCATGACATGAGAGATTAGCTATAGTAATATGAAAGAATCAGGTGATCCTTATCTTCTTTTGAGTAGTATATTTGGAACCTTCACTGGAATTATCATCATATTTATTATTTTGCATATAAATGACTTCATAGATGTTCTAAAACTAGATCTCCTATCGTTGGCTTCAGTTCTTTGACATCATTTCCGGCCTATCATGTACTTACGGTCACTTACAGATTTTAAGTATCATTTCCAGTCTATGACGTCACTTCCAGTTCTGACGTCAAATGCGGTCACTTACAGACCATGACGTAACATCCAATTCTGACACCACATTCAGTCTTAATCTTCCACGGTGTCATTTCCGTTAATCTGCCTCTAAGCAGTCTGTCCTCAGAAGCTGGAGTGATCAAAAGGTGTACCTACCTTTCGAGACTGCAGATTTGGACCCTGACCACCCAACCCACCCCTTTTCTTTCCTTAGAAGTAGGGAAGGCTATTGGCTTATGATAGTTTGCACTGCCACTATGGGACCTAGGGAGTGTATCCCTCCCAGGTCCTGCTGAACACCAACTTAGTAAAAGTTGCTAAAAGTGAGTCCCATTGACAGAGTGAGGGAGTATGGTTTTACGCTGCTTTTAGCAATATTCCAGCAATATCACGGCGGGGGACACCAGAAATGGGCTTCACACATTGTGCCCATGTCGGGAATTGAACCCGGGTCTTCGGCGTGACAAACTAACGCTTTAACACTAGGCTACCCGACCATCCCCCCCCCCCCCCCCCCCATTGACAGATGCATGTATAGTTGATGCATCTATTTATTAGCCATTCCATCACCGTAGCTTTAGTAACAACTTTGTCTGAGAATGTCCTGCAGGAGATGAAGAGTCTCTTTTACGTCTCCTGAGGTTCTGAAGCTTTCAGGTAAAACTTGAGAGCATGGATTGGACACAGTAGTCAGGTCTAAATGGTCCCCTAACGGTGCTAAGGCTGGAATTGTAAAATGTCTATGACCCAGAGATGCGGATTGATTCTTGGCTCCAATCTTTGGCGTGCATCAGTGTTGAAAAATCTATGGGGTGGATTTCAGACACTCTGGCGCTATTGTGACCATGGCAAGTAAAAAGACCTTGGTATTCGGATCAAAATTGTTTTGGAAAGAGGTTCATATGGTTCTATTAACAGTCCTGAAAAAACACACTGAAAAAATCCCTTTTGGGAAGATTCTCATCTTCCATAAAAATTACCTCATTAGTCTATTGATTGATGTTATCCAGTAGAACACTTCTTGATGTTATCCAGTAGAACACTTCTTGATGTAATGACCATTATGTTGTCACTGTCTTTCCTCAGTGAGAAAAGCTGTCCGCTAGGATATTCAGTATCTATTGAATATGTCTCGCATCCTTCAGGCAAATGATGGAGTTTCCCAAGGTAAACAATCTTGTAGTCTCCATCAAAAGGGAGCTGGATTTGGATCCTCCTTGTTACGGAATGTAAACTAGGACTGTGGTGTTGTCCGTGGCAATGAGGAATGAGGAGTGAGATAATCAAGCTTTCCAGTACCAGAGAGCATGGAATATTACCTTCTGTAATTGGATGTGTCTGTGAACAGGTAATGCTAGGTGATTGACGTTCATAACATGACCTCTGTTTTTCCACTAATGGAGATTCTGAATCAATTCTCCTGGTGTCTGGATAAGGGAGTCGAGGGGGTGTGATCTCCAAGTGATGACCCAATCCTGGAGTGGCTGTAATGTCAATATCCCTCTGAATGTCATGTCTTGAAGGGATGTTAGGTTCCCTACAAGAGATATCCATCAAGGGAGGGATCTTATGGGACGTGGCAATACTAACATCACCCCAGTATACACAAAGCCTTGTGTTTGGATGACCTCTGGCTTCATTGATTGTACCGGGAAAACAAGAAATGACATTTGTTGGATCAGGAAGATCTTGTTCTGTTGTAATCGTGATTTGTCTTGATGTGGTGCAAAAACATCGTCTAGGTATATAATTGACAGACTAGTTGCAGATTGGCAAAGTTGATAATCGGAGCCATGACTCTGGTGAATAGCCAAGGTGCTATTGATATCCCGAATGGAAGAACTTGAAATTTGTACCTTCTTTTGTTGACAAAATTATCTCCCTTTAAGGTTAACCAATGATACAAGACACAAGATAAATTGGGGAATGATAGGTGGCTTTATTTTATGTAGGCTATAACAGTAGCCAAGGCACTACATGTGCTTTCTCATGTCATTTGAAAAAAACTAGTTCACATGTTAATTGAAATAGGCGCAATCACTTTTGTGAAAGCACAACAATAGACACTAAGCATTTAAAGTCTCGTATAAACTCCAAACCCCAAACCCCAATTCAATCCTCATCATACAAACGAACAATGATAATGCGAAACATATCATGAACAAAATTTTAAGAATTGTCTATACCCAAGACACATTCAATATAATACATTTCTAACAAAGTTTGGCATAAGGGGATTCTCACTGCAAATTATACACATGTGACTAGAAAAGCTATTGGTACATGTACATGACTGAGCATCAGTCATGCCCAGCTAGGGATCGATTCGCCTTGCACAACTGACAACCTTCCCAAGCATTGGGTATAAACACAGGAGAATCGACTTCATGTACCTGACTTGTGTGTACCTGACTAAGCATCGGTCAGGCCCAAGCTGATGGGATCAATTGTCGAGAGTGTTACATCTATCATTCTACACTACAGATAGAACGCATTGGATGCTAAATACCATGGAGGTCAAGCCTGACCTGTGTTTTGACAACAGGCATCCAATGCATCCCATCCTAATGACTGCAGGGGTAAATACACCCAAAATCGAAGTAAAGAATTGACTGAGAATCCCCAAAGGCATTAAATATACAACTAGGACAAGTAGTTACCCCTAGTGAGCCTGTGCTATGGATGATTTGGGCATCCTCATATATCGAACATAACAATCTGATGACCACCTGCCTAGAGTCTTGATCAGATGGTCTGGAATATTAGCCGTAGAAGCGGAGGTAGCAGCACCAATACGAAATGAGTGACCGTTGTATTTCTCTTGGTCATATCCTGCCATAGGCAAGGTTTGTTTTAATTTTTTAATAAAGAAAGGCCTGGTAAGGGGAATATTCTGCTCATTAACAAACAAAGGATCATGCTGAGCAGCTCCCATGGCCCTCCTATGATGAATAAATTCCTGTAGACAACGGACCGGACAATAAGATGTTGGAACTGCATGGATGACCATCTTATACCCCTGCGAAAAGGGTCTGTCTTAGACGATTTAAGTGTCAAATCAAACAATGTACAATCTGGTCTAAACACGACAGAGCTGAGAGACAAATGAAATTTGTATCAAAATGGTCACAAGTAAATTCTCCTCCCCGGAGAAAGCCCCCAAAAGCGACTGAACACACAGTCCTCATCGAAGGTCCTCATCAAAGGTGAAAATAGACCTTTCTCTAGGGTGATCCAAATCTGCTCTAAAATGGCTACAGAAATTGGTAGTCGCACACTTCGATTAACACCATGTTCTTTCTTGATTGCCTTCATGATTGTTTCTACTCATAGCAGATTCCTAGAACACCATGGATTCGGCACATTATGCCTCAGATAAGTGAATCTCACTCCACACAGATAACTCTTGATGGTCGTATAACGTAAATGTAGTCGATGATGGCAGTGGGCTACAAACAATAACAATGAATCTTCCGACAATGGAGGTAACACGAAGGGCTGCCACACAAACCCGCACATAGCCATGAAGGTTAAAAAGGCTTGAACCCCTCCTCTGTATACAGCCCTCGTGGCTTTTGACACAGCTTGCGATCACAAATCATCTAAGTCTGGACTGGCGGTAAGATGAGCTGACACAGACGCACGCATGTTTCTGGTGCAGGTTCGGCATTTGGAGCTAGTTGTCGGAACTTGGTCATCTGGAAGCGAGATCATGAGGCATCACCAATATGGTTAACTCTGCCAGGTATATGTCGGGGACTGAATACAAAATAATATTTGGCACCAGTTAATACAAATTTCCTTAACAGACACATGATGAATGGAGATTTAGAACGACATTTGCAAAGATTGGTAACAGTAGCCATATTGTCACAATGAAACGTTCGAGTAAGGCAATGGACATGTCCTCTGTGGTAGCTTGCAGTAAGTCAACCGACCATGGAGCAGCAAACCATTTACCCTGGAAGTAAGCTCCAAAACCAACAGATGCAGCAGCATCTGTGTACAGGTCCAATTGAGGGGCTGCGATTAGGTCTTCCATGAAAAACGACCGGCAATTCCAATCGCGTAAGAATGTTCTCCACATATCAAAATCTAGACAACATTGTTTGTTCAAAGTGACCCGATGACGTAGATGTTTTACAGAGTGGGCCAGTTGTAGAAGAACTGATGAATGCCCTACCCACAGGAATGATCTGCATAGCAAAATTTAGAAGACCAATAATGCTGAGCAGTAGTTGCTTTGTGACTTTTTTTGCATCTTGAATAGTTGCCATGATGGAGACGATTCTTGCCACTTTCTCAGTGGGTAGACGAGCTTCCATTCTATCAGTGTCCAAAATAATCCCCAGATACTCCAAACATGTGACCAATCCGACCGTTTTATGGGGGGACAAGGGGATATTCAGTTCCGAGAATAAGCATTGTGCTAATGCCTGGTTCTAAGTCCTTATCCACAGTCAAAAAATCATCCAAAAGATGCAATATATTGTCAATGTCATACACATGATTTGCAATCCAACACACTGCTGTAGACAGGCCATCAAACAGCTTTGGACTGGACTGGCGTCCGAAGACCAAGCGAGTGTAATAATAAAGCTGATGATCCCATGATATGCCATGTAAGTTCCATAAAGAAGGGTGAATTGGAAGCATTTTGAATGCATCTGTTATGTCAACCTTACACAGGTAAGCATGTTGTCCCATGACTTTGATAAGTTGGATAGCGTCGTCCACTTTCACATAGGTGAGGTAGAATTGTTCTTTGTGAAATAATGAGTTCAAACTTGGGTTTTCCACATCATCATGTTGGGCCGAGAGGTCAACAATCAATCGCTTCTTTCTGGAATATTTCCCTTCCACGATGCCGATTGGATTTACCCTGTGGTGAGGGAATGGAGATTGCATAAATGGACCTATCAAATAACCTTTGTATAGTTCATCTTGTATGATGGTGGCTACTGTTTCAGGATTGTTTCAAGCAGATAATAGATTCTTGCAGACAGTAGTGTCAGTCGGTGGACATGTAATGCCCGTGTCAAAACCAAATTTAAAACCGTGCATGTCACTAGGTCTGAACTATGTGAAATCCAGGGGATTGATAAACGACTGGCGCAGAAGATCATAAACATTAGAAATTCGGAGGGAAATCTGATCCTGGATGATGTCTGCAGTTTAGAGGAATTTGATGAGTGACGAGGTCGTGAGCCAGTTAGATTTTGCCATAAACTCCGCCAATGCAACAGGCGAAGGAACCATACACAGAGGACAGAGGCTTCACATGTGCAACAGACGGAGACCAATCCAAATAACTGGGCGCAGGAGGGTGGAGATGACCAGACCCAAAGGGGAATGGCGCAGAACCAGTCATATCCGAGTGGGCGGGAAGTTATGGAGAGACTATTGGACCATCAGAAAAGCTTTGCTGAGGCCAGGACAGTAAATTATCAGAGGTGCTGGCAGCCCAGGCTGAATCCTCCTTGCAGATGAGTTGGGAACAGATGAACGAGATAGTTAAGGCCCAGAGTGAAGCTGGCTCGCGGATAGTTAGGCATTGGCTAAATTGGCTCCAACACTACAAGGCCCGGGCAAGAGTAACTCAATATCAATATCGATCTGTAGATCCTAGTTTAATGTTGATCCCTTGGAGAGGGGTATCGATGTCCATCGGTCGATTCCATATGGAAGTTTTGATCCCTTGACTGAACATGTCGATCTCTAAAGAGGGGTATCTATTTCAACCAGTAGATCCTAGTCGATGTTGATTGGTCAAGCCTTGTCGATGTCGATCCTGAAGAGAGGGGTATTGATTTCGGTCAGTTGATCATTGTCTATGTTGGTCACACATGAATCAGGTGGTGAATGAACCATTGTTTGTGGTGGGTGCCATGGTGATGACTGTGATGTTTGGGTGACATGTTTTTTCAAGCTGGACACTTGTTTGAGGTTGTTTCCACACCAGGATTGAAGAAGGATGAACTGCATAGTGTGAGGTAGGATAAGTTTAAAAATACAGGTCCTTCAATACAGCTGCAGAGGTGGTCAAATTGAAAATCAGATTAAACCTCTTCAACAAATTCATTATTGTAAGTAACAAGCATGTAAAGCTTCAGCTTCATTAGTTAGTATGGTCAAAGTGGAAAGGTCATCTTTGGTGGCAACAAGCATGTGACAACACTCCATTTTTGTACAAAGTGTAATCAAAATTGATCAACAGTTGGAATTTGATAATTTTCAGTATACAGTCTAGTCACGTTAATTCGACATCGATGGTTGCATATGATTATGTCGGATTAACGAGTATGTCTGATAATGAAATTTAGTAGTATCAACGTTTGTGATCGAAAAATCGGACAACTACACGATAGATAAGGATTCAAACACGTAATAAAAAATATAAAATAAATATTCATATTGTTATGTTACATTGTTGGTGGAATATGTTTTCTAATCATGCAACCTCTAAAGATTAACACAAAACAACTGTTACAGACTGTATGACCGATTCAAAATACTTTAAAAAGCATAGTCTTGAATGGAAGTCGCAACTTTGAAACTGGTACCCAAAGCTTAAGAAAGCTGCTTTCTAAGTGGCTAACGTCGGCTACCTGTTGGTCATTTCATTGGTAGGTCAAAGTTCGCAAAAGGTTGTTCTGACGTGACCTGTAATGGGATGTCCTCGTCGCGAGAACTTGTATCTGATTTTAATAAGATTGTGGTAATCTAAGCATGTGAATTATCCTGTTTTCTTTATTTAAAGCATTAACTGTTAAGCACATTTATCTCTGCAGCCGTTGTAATATGCAGCTACCAGCCGATTCGTCTTGCATCAAAACACGGGCTGTGTACTCGCGGGCAGATGACCACGGAGTACGCTGATCACTGTGTCGGATTAATGTGACTGATTAATGAGTGATTTCAGTAATTCGTTGCAAATTAGCTGTGTCGGAGTCAGAGTGCGAGACTGTCGGATTAACGGGTCTAAATAGCACTGATTTAATCAGTTCCCATTATTAGTGTCGGATAAAGCCGTTTGTGGGATTAATGAGACTTGACTGTATTGGATAATACATCTGTTACCTATGTTATTTCCCCAATGATTCGCCCAGGCATGAATGCCTTCTGATCTTCGATAATAACTATATCTTTAACAGATTTTATCTACGTGATATAGCTATTGAAGCAGTCTTATAGCAAACCGATAATAATAATATTAGATGCCATTCTTTTAGGAATTGTTTTGGTGTATTATCTTTAGGCACACAAGTAACTAGTCCTCTCTTTTGTGAGATGGATAATTCACCAGTTCTGTATGCAAAATTTAGATTTTACCTATATCATTCCAGAAGAATCTTAAGAATTCCGCAGTAAACCCATCTGGTCCTGGACTTTTCCCATTTTTCTAACATTTAACTGCTCCAAAGACCTTATCATAATTCAGTTCGCCTTCAATTTGGTGAAACAACTCACAAGATAGTTTTGGAGTTTACTTCCTTTAAAATATTCTTATGTTGGTCTATAATGTTCCATCCATATTGCCTTAGATCTAACCATTATTCCCAAAGATCTAATTATTGTTATTTCTTCTAAACTGAGAAAATCTATTTCACTAAGAATTGTCAGTTTGATATTGTCGACATCGGTTTCATCCAATTCCTCAGTTTTTTTGTGTAATTATGTTGTATGTCCATTTGCAACGTTTCACATTTTCTTTTCTGATACGATGAATATTGTGTAGTTTACCTCGGATCATTAGCATGATCATTTCCCATAGGAGCTGATTGTTTATTGAGCATTTGCCTTCTGTACATATATCCTGATTTATCTTAATCCAACTCAGTGTAAATTGAACCTATCCAGTGCTGCACTTTTGATAGTCTAAATGTTAACGATATTGATGAATGATCTGACTTAAAGTTTCTGTTTCCGTCTTAACAATAGATGGGATCATATTGTGAGATACTAAAGGGGTGGGTTGTCTCCATGTGTATCACTTAGCAAATGATTCAGTTCCCTACAAGCGTCTCCTAAGTCTATTTCAGCTTGAAGTTTCAATATCCTTCCTCGAGCTTTCGATTACATTTTTGTCATGTGTGTGATATTTCCAGACTCAGGAAGCTGAAATTTGCTGACATCAATGCTGAGAACACCTTGGTTGTTTTTGTTGACATTATAAAATTGACTACAAATATAGGTTAGCTACAATGATGTGGTGCTATTTTTAGAGATATATTGCTGGGAACAGGTTATCGCTATGAGGAGCTTTGTCGTCGAGCTGAACGATACAAGTGAGGTGCATTCAATAAGCCATTTATTTCCTAAGGAATGAAACACATGCTGTGCGTCCTTTCTAGCACATCCCCACATCCTGAGGAGGAGGCATGCCGAGGGACAAAGATGGCGGAACATTACATTTTGAACATTACATTTTTGACATGGAAGAACTTGTTAGACATACATGCACTCAATGGGGAAGTTTAATACCACCACTTTAGTGATTACATTAATAAGAAGACTTGTCACTTGTTAAAACCAGTAAAATCCAATTATTTTAGCTGCATTTAGAAACCACTCAAAACATGGGGTATTTTTCTTTCATGTGTCTCTGTGAACAAAGATACATGCATATTAAAAATTGGTATGAAGTTGCAGTTTTGTCCCGATAACATTTGTATGATTTCTTTTTGTAAACATTTGGCATATATTATTACGCGATATAAACCTTCATTTGTTGAAACTCAAAGAAAATGTAAATTCATAGATTTTCATAGGTGTTTGTCCTTTCTTAAATTAATCTAAAACATTTGCAATTTGTTTTGTTTTTTTACTGCAGTCTACAATATTCCAGCAATATCAAAACAATCGATTTTGGCCTGAGAACTTAACCAGTGGTTGATATTGACAACATCCCATGCCGTCGGGGCCTTCGTGTTATTCCGGGACAAGCAGGTTATGGAAAGGGGCCAGTGGTGTGTCATATGGTTTCCTTATGTTCTCATTACGCTGAAGCGGATATTTGAGTATGATTCAACCCACCTGAGGCTGACTGTCCCAATCCTGGTTTTGCAGCTGCCACCATCTTCTGTACATCTGTTGAATTGCCACTGTTTCCAAATGTTGTTACTTGTTGGCGCAGCTGTTCTACCAGTTTCAAGGACAGAGACCGACCAGTGCCCTCATACCTGAAAAACATATTCATCTTCTTATACTTACTTGTCTTGATGGCCTGCCTGCCATCCATCATCTAACAGCCACTGGAGGCTACTCAACTACTCACTGGAGGCCACTCACCTACTCACTGGAGGCCATCAAGACAAGTAACAGCCACTGGAGGCTACTCATACACTCACTGGAGGCCACTCACCTACTCACTGGAGGCTACTCACCTACTCACTAGAGGCCATCAAGACAAGTAACAGCCACTGGAGGCTACTCACCTACTCACTGGAGGCCATCAAGACAAGTTACAGCCACTGGAGGCTACTCACCTACTCACTGGAGGCCATCAAGACAAGTAACAGCCACTGGAGGCTACTCACCTACTCACTGGAGGCCATCAAGACAAGTTACAGCCACTGGAGGCTACTCACCTACTCACTGGAGGCCATCAAGACAAGTAACAGCCACTGGAGGCTACTCACCTACTCACTGGAGGCCACTCACCTACTCACTGGAGGCCATCAAGACAAGTAACAGCCACTGGAGGCTACTCACCTACTCACTGGAGGCCATCAAGACAAGTAACAGCCACTGGAGGCTACTCACCTACTCACTGGAGGCTACTCACCTACTCACTGGAGGCCATCAAGACAAGTAACAGCCACTGGAGGCTACTCACCTACTCACTGGAGGCCATCAAGACAAGTTACAGCCACTGGAGGCTACTCACCTACTCACTGGAGGCCATCAAGACAAGTAACAGCCACTGGAGGCTACTCACCTACTCACTGGAGGCCATCAAGACAAGTAACAGCCACTGGAGGCTACTCACCTACTCACTGGAGGCCATCAAGACAAGTTACAGCCACTGGAGGCCACTCACCTACTCACTGGAGGCTACTCACCTACTCACTGGAGGCCATCAAGACAAGTAACAGCCACTGGAGGCTACTCACCTACTCACTGGAGGCTACTCACCTACTCACTGGAGGCCATCAAGACAAGTAACAGCCACTGGAGGCTACTCACCTACTCACTGGAGGCCACTCACCTACTCACTGGAGGCTACTCACCTACTCACTGGAGGCCATCAAGACAAGTAACAGCCACTGGAGGCTACTCACCTACTCACTGGAGGCTACTCACCTACTCACTGGAGGCCATCAAGACAAGTAACAGCCACTGGAGGCTACTCACCTACTCACTGGAGGCCACTCACCTACTCACTGGAGGCTACTCACCTACTCACTGGAGGCCATCAAGACAAGTAACAGCCACTGGAGGCTACTCATACACTCACTGGAGGCCACTCACCTACTCACTGGAGGCTACTCACCTACTCACTGGAGGTGAGGTGAGGTGAAATTGGGTTTAACGTCGCGTCCAAGATTATTGCACTTATATAGCGACGTGCATGCACGTGTATGTGTGTGTGTGGCTGCTTGTACTAGTCCGGACTGATGCCGATTTATAGTGCTAGCACACTGAGATACCATGACGCAGTTTAACATGAATACCCCACTCAGACACAGTATACTGACTCCGAGCCGACCAGTCCTTGTTTTAGCCCCTTAATGCCGAGCGCCAGACAGGGTAACAACAAGTACAATCTTTTAACGTCTTTTTGTATGACGCGGCCCGGGATCGAACCCTGGACCTTCCGCTCTCCGGGCGGACGCTCTACCACAAGACCACGGAGGCGGTCCTACTCACTGGAGGCCATCAAGACAAGTAACAGCCACTGGAGGCTACTCACCTACTCACTGGAGGCCACTCACCTACTCACTGGAGGCTACTCACCTACTCACTGGAGGCCATCAAGACAAGTAACAGCCACTGGAGGCTACTCACCTACTCACTGGAGGCCACTCACCTACTCACTGGAGGCCATCAAGACAAGTAACAGCCACTGGAGGCTACTCACCTACTCACTGGAGGCTACTCACCTACTCACTGGAGGCTACTCACCTACTCACTGGAGGCCATCAAGACAAGTAACAGCCACTGGAGGCTACTCACCTACTCACTGGAGGCTACTCACCTACTCACTGGAGGCCATCAAGACAAGTAACAGCCACTGGAGGCTACTCACCTACTCACTGGAGGCTACTCACCTACTCACTGGAGGCCATCAAGACAAGTAACAGCCACTGGAGGCTACTCACCTACTCACTGGAGGCCATCAAGACAAGTAACAGCCACTGGAGGCTACTCACCTACTCACTGGAGGCCATCAAGACAAGTAACAGCCACTGGAGGCTACACACCTACTCACTGGAGGCCATCAAGACAAGTTACAGCCACCTGAGGATATATACACTTGGTCGTATGAAGTACGATAACTGAACCCCTTCCCTCATTTGACATATTTCTGCAAAAGTATAATTCAGTATGGTACATGAATTATGCTTCGGAAACGAAACAAGATGGATGGATTGAGACAAGTTCTATATCCACCGTAAAAGTTCATTTGGGCAGGTGACAACTGCTGGGGGCACTTACCCATTGACCGTGGAGGCCATAAAGACAAGATAAGGTCCCAGAAGAGCTTTGACTAGAGGTAATGGTATGGCTGCTGCCTCGTCAATGCACACCAGCTCTGCCTGTCCCAACTTCAAACTGTCTGATGGGTGGATGTACTGCAAACACACCGCAAGGTATGACAAATAAAGTGCAGGGTCCAACAATACAATAAAATTCATGGATCCTGTTAACAGGTCTCAACTGTTCTTACACACTTGTGGGTGAGAAACCCATTTGAGGTAACTGGTATCAAATCCCAGGTCCGTGACTCCATGATGATGACTTAGGGTCAAAATTATTATGGACTACTTTCCTGATTGTAATATATTGATAAGTTACCCATGCTTCTGTCGAATTTACCTATGTTTGTGTTGAAACTTTGTGTCTTTAGAGTCTTAATAAATGTTTTTGGTCTTGTCTTGTATGCATATCATAATCATTATCGCCTTAATAATCCACAGATACAGCTGAAACTTTTATTGTGGAGGGTAACACCAGAGGCCCTTGTGTCATTCCTGAAATATTTCAAGATCAATTTATGTCACGGGTGTCAGAAATGCGCTATCCTACTATATCTTTATACAAGGCCTTGTATAGCTATTTCTAAAGTAAAATTTCAATCATGCATAAAAACTTCATATCAACCTTGTCTAGGGTGATTATTCTATCAATTCAAATACATGACGCATCCCAATTCTTTATTGCTATGAAATAATAGTGACCAAAGGCTGTCAACTCACCACTTTGGAGCCAACTAGGACACAAAAGGCTATTATCAGACCAGCACTAAATTGACCAATCGCAAAGCTACTTTCTGACATAAATTGATCTAGGAATATTGAAGCAATGACAAGGGCCTGTCGGTCAGAGTAGGTATGGGTAGTGAGCAGTAGGACGGATGACGTCCCAAATGCGCCACTGTGATCATGAGAAAAGACAAAAGATGTATCAATACGATGCTAAATGGTGCGAGTTTAGGGTGTGTAAGAAATAGAACACAGCACTCGAGGCTGTCAGATACCATTTATCTTTCGCTTTCACTCATTTGATACCTTTAACCTTTAGCCTGCTGAATTATTTTCACACTTCTTACCCCTGCCTGCTGGATTAATTTTAGCATAAGGCGCTCTAAAGAGGGTGGGTGATTTCAAACAGTCGGTGCCTCATTAAACAATGGCCAATTGAAGAAATATTTTGCACATTTATTCCTGATAGAAAACTACACAATTCTATATAAAAATATCCTGGTGTTTTCAATTATACCAAAGTTTAAACCAAAACGAACACAAAATTTGTAAATTTTCTTGAACTTACCTGAATTGCGTTATTGAAGGTGGTTTGCATTTCATGCTAGGAACCTTTTAATATCGTAACATTTTTGCAAATTGATTTCAATAATCATATCTCCGATATCTTAATTTTAATTGAGTAAAAATTCGGGTTTTATAATCGGCACATATCAGCGCGATGGTAAATTATGAACCATTTCAGTGAATTTATTATCTAAACGTTAAACAGAAAAATAACTTAATTTTCGAGGTCATCATGTCGGTTGCAGAAATACGAATATTCGGGTAAATCTGACGTGTCATGTTATAAAATTTGCAGGAAACAATTAATGACTTATAAATATTCACTAATCCTAATTTCAAGCGTTTTGGTTGAATATTTACGATATACAAAAATAAACAACCCGTGTCATGATGCTAGCAGACGTCCTAAAATCAAACATGGCGCGCTTCGCCCGACCTCCGCATAACTTATTGCTATTTTAATATCAACAAAGTTTACATTGCCTTTATAAATATAACTTAACGAAAGTTGACGATCTTCTCAATCGAAGAATGTTTTATTCGTCATATTCCAATAAATATGACGAGAGAAAAATGAAAATAAAGATCGTGAATTCTGACAGCACTATTTCAATAAGTGCAAAGGTCACCGGATGTGATGTCACAGACAGGGGTAGTCTGCTGATAAGCTTTCGAAACAAAACAATTACAGTAAATTTTGAAATAGTTCGCCTATCACATACAGCAAAAATATAAGTCGATACACAGTATCAGTAATCACCACTAACATGAAATAAAAATGTGACTTTGACGATATAATTCGCGTATTAGTTAATCCGTTTGACCTTGCATGCTCCCGTGACCCGGAAACGGTAGACGATAAATCAACATGCCACATGCAAGTTTCTCGGTATCTTTTATTTGAACTTCTGTTGATATTTAAAAAATCACCATTCAATGTTGTGAATATAAATGGGACATGATTCATATTTCTGCGATGTACATGCTGATAAGTTTCACTACAACAAGTGTATCCCACGCAATACGTCTATGGATATCGTCGATCAGCAAGATCACCCTCAACAACAGGTGCGCGAAAATGGGCTTGACAAAACTTGTTTCAAAATTACATCCCCGCGTTGCCGAATATGATAGGGTATATATAAGCAATAAAATGCTACGTACATATTTTCGGTGTTAGTTCCACATTACATTTAGGATAGTTTTCCTTTCGGGAATACATTCATAGATTCTAGCATGATTTTAGAACAGTTTCACGAAGGATTTCTAAATTTATTCCAAAAATATGAAGACCACCATGATTGCGCATTGATGATAGATTTGTAATTGTTTAATTATTTACAGCTGTTTACAGGTTTTAAAATTTTAAGTTATATTTAATAGTTATTTTTCCCACAATGATGGTGTGTGGGGACAGTAAATATTAGTCTTTGCATCAGCACAGTGTAACTGATCAAACTTCAATTATTATCTTTAGTTTAAACATATTTATACAACAATTATTATCTTGCACTCTGAAAATCAACTATGTGAATAAGTAACTCTCTGATGTCATCATTTTAATTTTAGTATTCCATGAATAATGAATAAATCAGATCCTTAACATATACATACTAAACTCATATGGACATTAATCTTGTGCATTATGTGGTTTGTTTCCAAATAAAACAATTCTGAAATATAATTTAATAGGAATTAATTTAATTTAATTACAGTAAAAGTACTTGTAATAGTACATGACATTTTTGTTTGTTTAATCACAAGAACCATGGTGGCACATGAGCTGGTAAGTTTGCCATAGGTTTCTTAGAAAATGCTATCTCAGTCTTCTGGTTGGAATGAAAAGAAACATGCCTGTGTACATGTTTACCCTTGCCAGATGTATTTTTTCCAGTCAGCCAATCCATTACTTTTGTTCACCTTATGTGGTCTATTTTATACATACAGGTACTGCTTCCAACCTGTTTTTTCTTTGTATGCAATCACAGTATCACAACTTCCTCAGCTGGTGTGTATAAAAGTTCCCCTGTCATCATGAAAAAAGAATTATAAAGGAAAGTCATATTTTCATTCAAAAAAATATCTGTCTTTCCTTGAATACTCTTTGTCTAAGTGCCAGAAATGTCAGTGTCATAAAAAAAATTAAAAAAGATTTTCATAAGGACTTTTCTTAGATAGACCTAGATCTAAGTCAAACCATGTGACTAGTTAGGTAGAATTATAACCTTATAAGCCCTCATTTCTGAGGTGTCCATATTTTTCACCTTTTTAGGACTAAATGTGATCCGTGTAGATCTGCCTGTTTTGTTATGTAAAACAAATTCTTGTCTTAAAAAAATGAGAAAAGGAATCATTCATACGAATTTTTTTTATCCCATTGATTCACGAAAATCAATTGAAATGTACAGTGGTGACTTTTGTACCCAAAATTTCTAGTAATTTGTTACCCAAATGGGTATGTGATTTTGTAGATCTACCTAGAATTATTTCAAAGATATACATTAATTTGGTGTCTTAAACTTAACATAATATCACTTTCCTATCAAAACAATTCATTCTTACTTTAACCAAAATAACTGGCCTCTCCTTCTGTGACAAGACGTCAATTTTCTCTCAAAACTAAACAATCAATTTCAAGGATCACAGTCATAATCATATTTGGAACTTGATGAAATATTTTATTATGTGTTCTGTTCATCTACATGAAAACATAAATATAATTATAGATTATTGTCTTATTTTCTTAGGTACAAATGCACAAAGTATTTTGGGTACAATTTAATTTGTTTTGGGTACAAAATCACATATATATATATAAATAGGAGCCTAGAATCTATATCTATTTACACCTCGTTGTGTACCAAAATGTTATCGGTTCAGAGGACGGGAGGTTCTCAGAAAGTTTTCAACAACATCTTTAATATTTAAATTGTTCTTTTTGTAATGTTAGACCAATAACAATATTATGTTATTATTATGGCATATCAATACGTTGTATCGCTCTCCGTTGCGTTCGTTTTTAGAAAATATTTTAAAATTAAAATCATCGAGCGTGAAATCCATTACGGTTTCGGATTTAGACTTACACATTTGATGGCGACAATCACGAAGAAATATGAAACAAATAGGAGTGAAGATTGCTCTCCATATCAATAAATAGTAAATTATGTATTTTCTTTTGAATTTGAATCTATTTCGGAATTTCTTTATGATAGCTTACCAACTTTTGCATATTTTGCTTCCATGTGTCACATGCGGTACGTGCTTCCGGTTTCAGAAATGATAGCTAAAATTGCAAGTATTTTGATTATTTCTCGTAAAATGCATTATTTTGCTATTGAATGGTTTACCTAGAATGTATATCAGTTCAGATTTTGCGTTTCATTCAATATTTGTCATTTTTCGCAGTGTGTTGACTTTGTTCAACTCAACAAATCGCGAGTTAGGCCACGCCCAAACGTATCACTGACGTTTGTCGGCTTGTCAATGTGTCGGAAAGTTTATCAAACGAAATCATTTGCAAACTCTTTAAAAATGAAATTCTTTTTACAAAGATTTATACATACGTGTCAATAATTCTAGAAAATTAAGTTAGATGTAACAAAATGATTGTAATAGTCTAACGGGATAACTATGCATGTGGAGTTGTTTGTTTACCGCCGTTGCCATGATCGTACAAGTTCCATCCAATCGATGATGTTACGATTCAGATTGTTTTTGTTTACAATTAGTTACACCGAAAGTTGCTAATTTTTAGAAATAAAGGAACATGGGTGTTTTCCTTTCGTCAGCAAACAAAAAATTATGATCGAATAGGAAAAATGATGAAATTATAAAGAAAATATCGGACTGCATGCCGCTCAACGTGAAGTGCCAAAAGTCAACAATGGCCGTTTCTGGTAGTTGTGTGCCGAGAAGTTTGGCCGAAACATTTTAAACTCGCGATATTTTCTTTTTGAGGTAAATAAATGACTGAACATTTGATATTGAGCAAGCTGAGCATTTATGCATGTCATACGTAATTTAAATGTTACGCAAAGCCTTCTCGGTAAATAGATATGGCGAGTTTTATTTTGGGGTGTTGTTATGCTATTCGCCTGTCGAATGGGTTCGACATCAGATGCACGGGGATGGACACCTCTGTCGAATGGGTTCGACGTTAGCGTGCAGAGCTTTAAAGAACTTATTGTAAGACAAATGGAATCTCGTCGACACTTGTGTAGTAATCTCTAGTGTGTGTTGCTTGTGACTGGGTTACCTGAACGGTTTGTCGGTGTTCCCTGAAGATGTTGACTCTCACTACGGCCTTGTTAAAATCTGGGTTAGTTGACTGGATGATCTCATAGTCCAAGTGTTCCTATTGAAATAAACAGATCTTGCTGTATAAATCTTGGATAATTAATTGGATGCAAGATACTTATGAAAGCATCCATCTCCATATTGCATGGCAATTTATCTATTTAATCCAATCACAATACCCTAAAAGACAATCTCAGGTTTGACTATTTCCGTGAAGCCTGGAAAAAAGACTGGTTATTAAGACTGGGTATTCAACTGATGAAATGTTGTTACGTGGCAGTAGATGCAGTATAAGTTTTATTTTTGTTAAGTATTAACCCTCTTGGTTCTATGAGACCCTCTAAGTGCCATGGGACCATACATGGTCCCATGTAAATGTACCTTTTCAACTGTAAATTTAGATGTCAAACACTGAGTGCCGAAATCAAAATAATAACCATCATCACCCTTATTATCTCAGCTTTAATATCATATAACTCATATTTTATACCGTGCTACGGATTGCAAAATATGGTGTGATTAGTAAAGTAGTTGTTGAACTTCATGACAATGACGACGATAATTTATTTTGCACACTTGTCACATACACATAACTACTATAATATCAGACAGCCAATTTGAAAAAGAAATCCATCAGACTGGCCAGGAAGATTTACTTTTCCCCAGTGTATTGTTATTGACTTTAGACTACCAATGTTTAGTCTGCAATGGACAACTGAAGTTTATGTTCAAGTATTGCATATTTTTTAGCGACCGTGCGTCATGGCGATTTAGCACGGCGCTAGAGAAGAAACAACAGTGCAGATTGACTTTCTGTTTATGATACTGATTTACAGAAAATTTTCAAATCTAAGATATCAAAAGAGAGCTATGATCGTTAATATTAAGGTCATATAGTGTATATTTATGGGCAGGAAGTTCATGATCAAAACGTAAACATCGACAGGGCACGTTCACATCATAGGCTAGTAATGCCGCAATTTTTATACTATCAGTTGTCCTACATGCTTGACCGTTTCAACAAATAACTGCTGCTTTTTGCATACGAAATGACTAAAAGACATGTGTTATTGCTCAAACTACCTGACCGTGTGAATGAATTGCCCTGTTTCACACTGTGTAGCAATGGGAGATTTCAAAAGTGTGGCCACGACATCTAACGTTAGTCAACGCAATATTGTAAACAAATTGTGTCAAGGTCGGTTTCACATGTGGTATCTCGGCTCCCATTTCTGTTGACAGTGCATGCGATACAAACATAAGACAACTATTGAAAACATCAACATAACTTGTAAAATGTTGACAGCAATACCTTTTTTGCATTTGGGTTAAGTGCTTATGGATATTATGTGCTGTAAAGTTCGATTTCGATTTGTTTTTTCTTTCATTGAAGTTGTAGGTAATGACACTCCAAATATTAAGTAAATAACTATATTCTAGTAGACTATTTGTTTTGATTTAGGTAATCTAAACTGTGAAAAATGAAAGAAAATATGCATTTCTTTCTTATTTGGCAAATCTTTCAGACATACATCATTAAAACCAATTAACTATACCAATATTGTATACTCATGTGGTAAAGAACAGAATATTTAAAGAACAAAATTTGTATTTATTGAAATATGTTTGTACATTGTTAATGTTTTGGTTGGCAAGTGACAATTAAATGTAATCACTTATGCAAAGTGATGTACTAATCAAATGTAGCACAACACAGTCATACTTTGCTCTGCAACTACCTCTCAGACTTACAACTACATCTCAGAAGCTCTTGGCTTCACTTAAAAGCTTGCGGTAGTGTAGTCCACAATGGCTCATGGCCATGTGCTACTGATGTTACCCATCCCCACTCAGTTGGTGTGGGAAGGTCTCTTTTGGCTTCCAGACTTCGTCGCCAACAGTGGTCAGCTTAAAATGCAGCTCTTGTGACATGTTAATAGAAAGCAGCTGATTTAAAAAGGAATGGAATCAATTGATCTACCTTTCTTACTGAATAAGTCTTTGCGGGCCTCATCAACACTTGTACAGAGACTGGCCTGATCACAAATTAACACCACTGGCACCATATTCTTCACATCCTGTTCAGTTGGTACAGTTGCACATTTGCAAATGTGATGGCAACTGTGATCACATTTAAATGTCCCCAACCAAAAAAAATCATTAGCTATTTACATACAACTTCTTTTCTTTGAATATTTTGTTGTCATGTTATTCACCATATGAATATATAATATTGGTATAGTTAACTGGCCTTAATGAAGTATGTCTTAAAGATATGCCGAAAAAGAAAGACATGCGTATTATATAATTTTTTCACACTTTAGGTACCTAAATTAACATAAATATTCAATTATGATAAAATTATTTACTTTACAGGTGCAGAGTTGGGTAAATACATTAACAAAATGTTCATTTTTCATGATATATTTAGGTTGTGGGACAAGTTCACATGAGATATACCACAATTTAATTCCTCTATGGTTGCCATATTGGATTTAGTGGCCATATTAGATTTTTGGGGGTGGCCCCACATCTGAAAATATTTGGAATGTCATTACCTACAACTGTGCAAAGTTTCATGCTTTTATCACAAAGTGCACACTTGACCCAATATTTGTCACTAAACGGCTCCACTACATACATAGCATCGTGAACAGGCTATCGCTGTGAGGTTGTTTACTTTTGGGATAAACCATATCATTCATGGGTTTCGTGAAGTGACAATTTTATGAAGCTTTTCTGTACCTACATAAGAATGAGAAACCTTTTACAACCTGATATGCATCTTATATACTTGCCCCCTGTCGAGGGGCTACCTATCGGAGAACACTGACTTCTTGCCAGCTCTCGACACCATTTAAGATTCAAGATTCAAGAACGGAGAATGTGCAACATTAAAAACAGTGACTTAATTCTTGACATTCATGAGTGCACAGACATATATTCTTGGGCCTATGTTCTATTCCTGCTGCTGCAACATACTTTACCCATTGTATTGCCTCTTGTGATTGTAAACCAAATCCTGTGTGTTTCAATATATTTTGTTAGTTAGTAGTTTTGTGTGGTTAGGTAATGATCTTACAATTTTGTTCTGTATGAACCGATTTCTGGGTTAACAATCACGTTTCATGTGGGTTATCACCTCGAAACAAGTTGTTAAACTTCTGATGCCCTCATCTCCAACCACCTTATTTTAACCTGTTTAACTGGCTATAATTAATTTGCCTTGCCTTTTCATGTCTCTAGTAAGGCTGTATTTTCCTCTTTATCTATTACTATTGTGCAAACTTTTTTTTCAAATTTGGTGATCATGTGACAAGGGACACCTTAAAGGACCACTGGCAATGCTTACTTGAGTGACCTAAATACATATATGGGCTCACTATTCATTGGTCAACGGTTCATGAAGACTACATCCCTCAATCACTGATGAGAGATAAGTGGTCTGCTGGAGGTGTTTGCATGAGAGATTCCTGTCTGTGTCATGCCTGTCATCTTTGAATGGAGTTATTTGTATGGTTTCCAAAACGCAACACTATCTCAGAAAATAGAACATGAGGGATGATAATTTTGGTCATCATGGTATTACCCATGATACCTAAATCACCATAGTAAGTGCCATGGGTGCTTAGAACATTTATATTGGGGAGCTGAATAAACTCATACACAACTCCAAAGATACCAAAAATCAACATTTGATTACATGAGCAATGAACTAATCAAACTCAATCAGTGTCTATTACCATCAGAAGTAAAACAAACATTCTACCATCAATTTCGAATTTACATGATTCTGATTGGTAAATCAGAGGCTATTAAATCACAATAAATCCCTTCTGATTGAAACAGCTGGTTTGACGGCTGCCTCACTGCGAAAGCTGATATTCATAGAATACTACTATTCATGTACTATAGCATGTTTAAATAATTATATCAACAAATACAGGTAACAAAATGCACAGATGCGGTTACTACAATATTCAAAGGATGTGTGGCAATACATTTAGTGGAGAAAACACGATAGAAATCTACAAAGAGAATATATTTACGTTTAGGAGACAACAGAGAGCTTGGAATTTTGGCGCTTTTCTATATACAACTGTGACGTCATATCTTTTGCGTCACAATGATCGATATGACGTCATAATGGTGACGTGTGATGTAGAATGAAAACCTTACAAAGCTTGCTTAGTTTTCTTCAGGGATGCCCACCTCATGTTAGCTTACCATGTTGCCGTGCTTACATGCTTTCAATGCCTGTCATATGTTCAAGTGAAATATTTGGGTGTAAACAAACTGCTTGAGTATATACAGCACCATATTTTGTTAACAGGCTGTTGTCGGTGATTCCGTAATTCAGATCAATAACCCACTCAAAACACTGGACTCAACCCATGCCGCTTCACTCAATATATTTACTAACACCAAAGAGTTCGCGTTTTATTTAGTCATGGTAGAATGGAGATAAACATGCTGTGTTTTCAATGAAGAGCGAGGTAACCTGTAGATTTAACTGCGCTAATTTAACATTTGCAACCTCACGCTGCGCGTTCGGTTCCAAATTCAATTTAGTGTGGTTAAATCTACAGGTAACCTAGCTCTACATTGAAAACACGGTATGTTTATCTCCTAAACATACATGTAATCCTATTATCACTGCAGAACACATGCAGATTATTGTCCCTCAGTGTCCATCACAATCAACAGTGAATCAATACTCACAACCATCAGTGTAACTTTTGCGTAATCAGTTTCAGTGGTGTTAAGATATATGTTGCTGAAACAAAACGCTTACTAATCCTTACTAAAAGCATTCCAACAGTCAACTGTCATCTATCCTTTCACCAGACTCACTTTCACTATGACAGGTATTAACCAGACGCACTCTCACTATGACAGGTATAAGTGAGTGAGTATGGTTTTACGCCGCTTTTAGCAATATTCCAGCAATATCACAGCGGGGGACACTAGAAATGGGCTTCACACATTATACCCATGTCAGGAATCAATAGCTCCATACTATTTTTGTAAAATACTCAAACCAGTTGTTACGTATCT